TGCTCCACCCTGGGTGGGGGAGTGGGGGGGAGGAGGCTTCGTACACTGCCCCTGCTCCCGGTAAAAAATCGCAGCTTTTATTGGCCAGAAACTGATAGATTGGCCAATGGGAGCTAAGAGATTTTGCCGGGGGGTGGGAACTGCATGAGAAGTCTCCCTCCCCAGCAGTCCAGAATAGAGACCAGCTGGCTTTTAAAGTGGGAGCTTCTCTCTGCCTTAGGGTTCTGGTGAGATGGCCACGGGCTGTTCCAGCGGCTTGGCAGGCTGGTTCTGGCGCTGGCAGGCTGTTCCCATGATAAAAGGTGACAAGGCGTGGCTTTCCTGCCTGTCAGTCCTGAGTCCTTGTTAGGCCTGACCGGTGCCCATTGCGCTAAGCCCTCGGCCTAGGCAAGGCCCTTCCCTGGGGGTGTAGTGATTTCCTGGGCATGTCAGTGTTTGGTGGAACTGGGTAAAAACCAAAGGGGGCAGAAGGGAGGGGCGCTCAGTACTCCTGGGAGCCGGTGTCGGGTGCTCACGATGCAGCGGCTGGGGGGCCTCAGCTGGCTCCTTGCCCCCTTGCTGCCCTGCCGTTCAGAGGATGCAGGTTGTCAGGGGGCTGCCCACCAGAAGCACTGGCCCCCATTGGACCAGAGGGACCTGTCAGAGTGGCCCCAGGTGCTTCCAGGGGCTCAGCAGCCTCTGTGTGGGCGACCTCAGCTGCCGGGACCTCGCTCCCTGCCCATCTTGCTCCCTCGGGCACGTAGCCCCATCAGCTTCCTCTGCTGACCCTTCCGCCTGGCCCCCGGTGCTTCCCAGGGCTGGGGTTGGCAGAGGAGCCAATGCTCACAGGGTACAACAGTCTGCTGACGTCAGCCCTTCCACAGCCTGGGGACGAGCGGGGGGATTTGAACCCACCACCTTGCAGTCCCCAGTGCTTTCCAGGGCTGGAGCCGGCTGTGGACCCAGTGCAGTGGGGTGACAGCTGTTGTTCCCCTGCTCTCCCCACCCCAGCCCTTCAGCCTGGCCCCATGCGCTTCCTCTGCAGGCCTGCACATGCCCACCCACAAACCCCCAGGTCCTGAAAGCTAAAATCCAGCCCCAGGTGAGAATGAGGAAACCCCCAATTCTGGCTTCTCCCAAACCTGGGAGTTCTTTGGGGTATTTGCTGATGTTCTCCAGAGGGCCTTGTACATAACGCTAAGGTAGCCCCAACCCTAAAGAAATTAGTCTGGACGGCTCAGACTAGGGTGTGAGAGATGCTACAGGTTGCCCGGGGGGCAGGGCGAAGGTTTTTAAAGCAACGTAGCCCTGACACATACGCGAGTGACCCTTCTCCCCAGAGCTGGCGTAGGAATAGTCACTTCATGGCGCTGTTTCCTCTGGATCGCTGGGCTGCAGCCCCGAATCCGAATGGGCCGTGTGGCCAGTTGGGATTTCTGACCCTTTGAGAACAAAGCGCCGCTGCCTGGCGTGGGCTCCCCGAGCCAGTGCCTTCGATCCAGCGCTCCTCGGCACGCTCGGGTGCTCCAGGTTGCTGCGGAAATGCTGCTAACCTCTTGGTGTGGGGGTGTCCAGTGAGTCTCTGGCGCCAGCAGCGAGGCAGATGGCTAGCGCAGCATGCAAATCTCTCGCTGCGTCCCCGGCTGAGCTCTCAGAGGCTTAGCCCTCCCTCCGTTGAGTCCCGCGCTTCGCTTTCTCCGGAGCTGGCTCCCAGCCCCCTGAGCTGCCGGGAGCAGTTGCAAGCCCATCTTAGCGTGAAGAGCTTTTGCCTTTTCCTTTCACTCTGCTCCGCTGGCCTGCGAGGCTTCCGTCAGCAAACTCCCTGCCTGCCAGAGGGGGTAGAGTGGGATGAGGACGGATCCCTTCTGAGAGGACAGATGAAAATCCAGGCCTGCTGCCGCTGATCTCCACGCCCAGACTTAGGTCGCTGCCCTGAGCTCAGGCGTGTTCTCACAAGCGGGAGGTCAGCCCGGGAGGGGGAAGCAGATGGATCTTGCTTGCAGCCATTCCAGGCTGTTCTGAGCACTTCCTGCCTCCAGGGCTTGACTGTGGTGCAGTCGCTGTGCCCAGCTTCCTGACTTCAGGAATGAACAATTGCCCCCCCGGGAGCCTCCCTCCCCAGAGCGGGCACCGCTGCTCCAGGGTTACAAACCCGCCCGTTGGCTCCCAGGCTTCCCCTCCTCCTCGGCTGTTGTAAACGTGACTGTTTTCAAAGCCCTGGCGCTGTCGCTCAAAGGGAGGCTTTGGCTCCTGCCAGTTCCCGGATGGCTCAGCCAGAAATGTGCGCAGGGCTGGATGGGGCAGAACTGCAGGGGCATCAGAGGGGACCAGCGGGAAGCGACAGCTCGCTGCGGGGCCGGTTTGCTCCCTCCTGGCGTTGGTAAATAACTTGGCTGTGCTCCCTTGTCCCCGGATGCTTTGTTCGAAGGTCTCCCTCCGACGCCCGTCCAGCTGCTGTATCCGGTCTCCAGGTTCAGCAACGTCAAATCCCTCCAGCACCTTTGCCGGTTCCGGATCAGGCAGCTTGTCCGCGTAGACCACATTCCAGAGCTCCCGCTGCCCAAGTACGTTCTCCTGACCGGGCTGGGGCGGGGGGAACTTCTCGGGCACTGGATCTAGAATCTAGAGGGCAAATCTTAGCATCCTTGCCCCTTCCCTTTCCCTCCATTGGCCTGTTGGGACCGCCCATCCCAGCTGTAGCATGGGGCAGTGTGTGTGGGGGATCGTGAATAGCTGGGAAAGGGAGGGACATCAGGAGGGAGCAGCCATCCGCTGGCCAGGGCGAGGCGTCTGTGGCGCGGGGGCGGCCGGTAGCAGTGGAGAGGCAGGAAGAATCGTCCTCTAACGATCTGTGCCTGCCCCTGCTCTTTCCAGGCCTCTGATCTCCTACATCCGGAAGTTTTATTACTACGACCCCCAGGAGGAGGTGTACCTGTCGCTGAAGGAAGCTCAGCTGATTTCCAAACAGAAGCAGGACGCTGAACCCTTGACGTAGCCAGGCTGCCTTGCTCACGTTGTCGCTGTCACGGACGGTAAAACCCACTTGGCTGTCGTGCCGTGCTGGGGTGGGGGGCTCCTTGCTCTCCTGCCCTCGCGGGGATATCCCTGCTAGGTGACCAGGGCTCATTCTTGCTGGCCTGGCGTTATCTGCAGGGCAGTTCCTTCCCATCTCCTGAGTCATGGGCAGGCAGATGAGAACACGCTGGGGTGGGCTATCTCTGGGGGGGCCTGGGGAATACCAGCAGCTTTGGGGGTGGGGAGTCCCGAGCAAGCGGAGCCTAGGGCCTGCCCAGCTGCTGAGGCAGCACACGGTGAGCTCCTAACTAGTGGGGAACCAGGGATGTAAAATCCAGTTGAATTGTCTGACTGGTGGAACTTGCTATTCAACCAATGAAAAGGGGGGCACGCGGGGGTGGGGGCTCCAACCCAGCGGCCCTGCTGTGCTCAGGCCGGATTCTTCCTCTCGGCTGGAGCTCGCCTGCCTGCAGGGCAGCTGGGCCTGCTGCGGATGGGCTGTCCCGGCTGGGCTGGAACAGCTCCTGCCCCACAGCGGGCGGGGGGCTACTCCAGCCTCCACCAGTTAACCGGAGCTGGGAAGCCTCACCCATTCGCGTCCCTAGCGGGGCTCTGAGTGGCGTGGGGCTTGATGCCGCCTGCGTAGCTTTTCCCTCCCACGCGAGCTCAGGGCGAAGGCCGGGAGGGAAATCCCTGCTGAGCAGGGAGCGGTTTTCTGCGGTTCAGGGGGGTGCAGCGGGGAGCTTCGGGAGACGCCCCTTCCCCTACAGGACTCTCTTCGGGCAGCTGACACAGCCAACTGCTGGGGGAATCGATTAGCTGGGGAATGAATTGATCTCAGCTTGTTCTCCCCGTACCTGAGTGGACTGGCCGCCGCTAATGTATCCGCCTGCACGCTCCTTGGCACGCGGCTGTCCACCGAGAGATTCTGATGACTCTTAAATGGTATTAAAGTGGGCTGCTGGGTGGGGAGCTCACCAAAGAGCTGAACCAGAGACCGTGATGAGGGTCGGCTTCCCTAGTTCAGTGAAACGGCAGCCGTGCCGCCCTGGCTGCCTCTGCACGTGGGCTGACGGGGCTGGGGCCCGGGGTCAGAGCTCAGCACCCCGCACTGTCAGGAGTGAGAGGCGACGCCACCTTTCCCCTTCCCCTTTCTGAATGTAGAGGACACAGGCTCCTGGCCCTGATTCCGGGCCAGCTCTCCAGGAGGTGCAGGGGAGGCCTGGGGGTTGGTTGCTTTGTGCCGCCTTTGGGTGGTCCAGGTTCTGGGCTGTTCTAAGGTTCGATTCAGCTCAGGCCTAGAGCTGAGCAATAGCCCGTCCCGGTGCGTCGTGGACTGTAACTCTGTCAGAGCGATGTCTGACCTGCGGGGGCTGTGCTGGCTCATGAGCAGCCCTTAGACATGGCCAGGGCAGAGTGACAGTAGAACGGATCCGCACGGCGCTTCGTGAGAGAGGCCAAGTTACACTTGATAAGAGGCCGCGGAGCCCATGGACACGTGGGGGAAATGAAGAGCAGAGCCTAATGCTTCTCAGTAGGGTTCCTCTTGTGCCTCTGATGGATGCCAGAGAGCTAACTGCTCAGCCTTTAACTTCCTGAGGGCCAAGTGTGCCTTTGAATTGGCTCAGGGTTTTGAGGCCATCAAACCTAGCCTAGGTGGTTTAGGCCTCCACACATAGTGAGGCAGATGCTGGGCCTTGTTTCCGGGTGGGGTGATGACTGTAATCATTTCCAGATCACTGGGTGGGAGTTGAGGCTAACACTGGGGAAGAACAAGTTACGAATTTACTGAGGCCTGGGCTGTACTTACTGGAAAGTCCAATTAAGATACACCCCTCCAGCTGTGTTAATTAAGTAGCTGGAGTCGACTTCCCTTACTCCTCCTTCGCAAATCGAGGAGTCCCTGCCTTGGTGGGGGCGCCCTTAGCGTTTGACTTAGGGGGTCTTTACTAGACTCGCTAAATCAAACTCCGGAAGATCGACCACTGCAGTTGACCTTTGCAGTCGTGAAGACTTAGTCTGAGATAAATTCGATGTCTTTCATCAGTCCCTGCTGCCTTGATGACAACTAACATACTTAATGGGCTAGATCTCTGAGCCATTTGCTATTATCTTTGAGAACTAATGGGGGACAGGAGACGTCCCAGAACAGCAAAAGGGCAAATGTAGTGCCCGTCTATAAAAAAGGAAATAAGTACAATCCAGGGACGTATAGACCGGTCAGTGTACCTTGAGTACCGGGAAAGGTAATGCTTACAACCTGATCTCCACCTAGAAAGATAATCATAGAACACTAGAACTGGAAGAGACCTTGAGAGGTCATAGAGTCCAGTCCCCTGCCCTCAGGGCAGGACCAATCACCAGCTAGACCATCCCTGACAGGTGTCTGTCCAACCTGCTCTTCAATATCTCCAGGGATGGAGATTCCACAACCCCCCTGGGCAATCTATTCCAGCGTTTAACCACCCTAACAGGTAGGAAGTTTTTCCTAATGTCCAACCTAACCCCCCCTTGCTGCAATTTTACTCTCTCCTCCTTGTTAACACCCTTTTAGATATTTGAAAGCTGCTATCATGTCCCCTCTCAGTCTTCTTTTCTGAACTAAACAAGCCCAATTCTTGCAGTCTTTTCTCACAGCTCATGTTCTCTAGATCTTCTCTAGACCACCTCCAATTTCTCCACATGTCTCCAGTTCTGGGCACCGCATTTCAGGAAACAGTACTCCAGTTGAGGCCTAATCAGCGCAGAGTAGAGCGGAAGAATGACTTTGCATGTCTTGCTTACAACACTCCTGTTAATGCAAACCGGAATTATGTTTGCTTTTTTTGCAAGTGTCACACAGTTGACTCATGTTTAACTTGTGGTAAATAAAGTAGTAAGTAACAGTCAGCAAGGATTTCTCAAGAACAAATGTCAAACCAACTTAATACCCTTTTTGGACAGGGTAATGAGCCTTCTGGGTATGGAAGAAGCAGCAGGTGTGATATAGAGCGATTTTTAGTAAGGCGTTTGATAGGTCTCACGTGATCTTGTAAGCACACTAGGGGATGGATAATGGCAGAGACTACACTGACTAAGTTAGCAGATGATGCCAAGCTGAGCAGGGATGTGAGCACTTCAGAAGACAGGATTAAAAGTCCTAATATTGGCAAGTTCTAGAAGAGTGGTCTAAGCTAAGGAAAATTCCTTAAGGACAAATGTTTGTGCAATGAATTGTAGCACTTTGCACAAGTGGGAGGTGGCTGTGTAGGAAGGAGAACTGCAGAGAAGGTTCTGGTCGTCGTGGATTGCAGACTAGTCACCGATGTGATACTTTTTGCCAAAAAAGAGTGAACTTTCATTCTGGGATGTATTGGCACCAAGGTGGTGAGACACGAGATGTAATTCTTCCTCTGTGTGGTATGAGAGAGGCCTCATCTGGAGTAGTTGTGGGCACGGCGCTTGGGGAAAGATGTGGACAAATCAAAGAAAGTCCAGAGGAGGGCAACAAAACTGGTACAAGGGCCAGAAAACACGACCTTGAGGAAAGATGGGGGAAAATTGCTTTTGCTTAGTCTGGAGAAGAGAAGCGTATAGGGAGACCGTATTACTTTAAGAAGTGGTTGCAAAGAGGAAAGTGAGATTGTTGTCCTGTCCTCAGTGGCTAAGGAGAAGCATTGGGCTTAAATTGGAGCAAGGGAAATGTAGGTTGGACATTAGGAAAAGTCTCCTGACTGTAAGGGTAGGGAAGCTTTGGAACAATTCCCTAGGGGGCTTATGGAGTCTGTCACTGTCTTTTCCGCTCTTACACTTCCAAGCAGGAGTCGGGTGGTTCAGATGATACGTAGTCCTGCCTCCATTCGGGGGACTGGACTAGATGACTTGTCACAGGCCCTGCCAGGCTGAGATTTCTGCGGTACCGTGCTGACACTTCCTGCAGTGAGAAGCAGGAGCGCCCTGTTTCCCCCCGCAGAGTCGTGGGTATTAGACCAATCTATCCAGCCCTCAGCTGCCCTGCTGTGCCCCCATCCCCGTGTCAATCGAGACCTGGGGGTGGGGGAGTGTGCGGTGTCATTCGCTCTTTAAAAAGGCTGGCAGTTCCCCCTGGCAGGGGTGGGGCCGAGAGACTTCTCACACTCCCGAGCCCCCGATTGGTCTGGGGTTGGGGAGCAAGTGAGGTCTCCTTCCTCCACTGGGGCACATGGTGCCTAGAGGAAATCACCCCTCCCACCTGAGGCCCCGCCCCTTCTGCCTGAGGCCCTGCCCTTTTGGGGGCGGAGCCGGCCCACAGCCACTACCCACAATCCATGAAGTGGCCCCCCTGCAAAAATGATTGCCCAGCCCTGTGGTAAACGCTCCTGCACAAGGGCTGCAGGACCCCAGCGGCCCCCGAACTCTGACAGGCTCCTATCCTGCCTCTTCTGTCTGTTGCCCTGCCAGCTCCGCCCGCTCCGGGCTGGGTGTTGCATGCCGGTGGTGGTATTCTTCTTGTCTGCCGGGCGAACAGCGTAAAAGCTCAGCAGCAGGAGCGGAGAGAATTGCTGGCTCCACCGTTGCCCCCTGAGGGAGCCGTTCGGAGTGCTTGGCCGCCTGCTCCGTTCTCTGCTTTCAAGTGGATCTTTCCAGCCGAGAGGCATTTTCCGGCTGCTTCCTGTGTAGAATTGCAAACACTGAGGCTGCTGCCACGTGGGGGCAGATTCTGTCTCATGGGCGGACAGTTGCCTGGCCTCGTCTAGGAGTTCTGGCCCCTTCTGCTTGCTGAGACACGAGGTATTCAAGAAGCTGCAAGTTGGACCCATGTCCCCGGCGGGGGCTGTCCTCTGCTGTCTAACCCCATGGCCGGTAGAGTTTACCCCGTGGTGCACAAGTTTTTCGTTCCTGATTCTAAGCTTGTGTTGTAAAAGAGCCTCCAGCCCTTGCTAGAGGATGTTGTGAAGACTAGGACTTTAAAAAAGAGCTAGATACATTCATGGACATTAGGGCCATCAATGGCTGATAGCCAGGATGGGTAGGGAGGGTGCCCCCGGCCTCTGTGTGTCTGGGAATGGGTCACAGGGGGAGGGATCCCGTGAGGATTCCCTGTTCTGTTCCCTCCCTCCGGGGCACCTGGCATTGGCCACTGTCGGCCGACAGGACACTGGGCTGGATGGACCTTTGGTCTGACTCCGTCTGGCCGTTCTGTTCACCTTCCCCCATGGAGCCTTTCTGGCTACTGTAGACCCACCCTAGAGCTCCCCTGAGCCCAGGGTCTCTACATTCAGCGGGTCCGGCCTAAGCTGTCCGGCTTCTTGTAGGTCACATGCCTGCAGTTAGTCATGTGACTGACCTCCGCTCCCTGCTGCGAAGGGCCCGTGGTCAGGACCGGTTTCTTGTAGTGCCTGCATGTGCCTCAGAACCCGGTGCCCTGTTACAGCCAGGCATGGATCCTTTGGGTGCCTCTCGTGGGCCTGAGAAGGGGGGGGGGGCTCACTATGGGAACGGCTTCTTTGCCCTTGGGAAACCATCGCGAGCGTTGTAGAGGCCCTGAGAGACACTCGCCAGGACGCCCTGCGTGAATCCCCGTGTGTGAATGGACACGTGGCTCCTTAGCCAGGTTAGAAGGTGCTGGCTAAGGGCTTCTCTCACTGCCCCGGCAAAGTAGATACGGCACGTGCTCAGACTAAAGCAATCGCTTCTGAGAGGCGAGAGCTAGCTTGGTCCCTTTCTCCTCTCCCAAGACAAAAGGAGAGCTGGAGATGAGATGGGCTGATGGGGGAGTTCCTAGCTGGGAGCTTCTTGTAAGGCAGCTCGGGAAACAGTTATTTGCAATCTCCTTGAAGCCAAGAGCCAGGCTTGTAGGCGCAAGCTGTCATACCGGGATTCCCCTGGTGAGCAGAATGAGCCAGGAACGGTCTCCGATTTTACCAAGGATTGGGGTCCTGCCCCTCTGATTGGGGGAGTCTTGTTTGCTCTCTTGCTTACTCCTCTGCAGTGCTAGATCTGTTCCCGTGGATGCTCCTGTGCTCCCCTTTGCGCTCCTGTACCCCAGCCCAGCTCCCCTTGGGAGTCTCTGGATACGTCTACACAGCAAGACTAAACTTGAAAGAAGCGATGCTAATTGCATAGCTTAGGCGGAAATTGGGCCTGTCTACTCAGCGCTTATTTCGAAGGAGAGCCCTCTTCCTCCGGCTTCCCTTACTCCTCGTACAAGGAATCATAGAACTGGAAGAGACCTCAGAAGGTCATCAAGTCCAGCCCCCTGCTCTAGGCAGGACCAATCCCAAGGAGGTTTACGGAAGTCGGTGTAAGAAGCCCGTTCTTTCGAAATAATGGGCTTGCTGTGTAGACGTGCGCTACGTTATTGCGGAACAACATCCGTTATTCCGAAATAATGCTGCTGTGTAGACGTCCCCTCTGATCTGCATTGGATTCTTCCATGTAAAACAGACTGACTAATTCTCTTACTCTCCCTCTCTCCGATTAGGAATTGGCTTGCTGAGATCCTGCAGCAAGGAGCCCAAGCAAAGCTGCGGCAGACGGAGGCCGAGAAGGGTGAGCCCTGCCTCTTCAGTGACTTCTGCTTGCCATCTCTTTTGTCCTCGGAGGAGGATTCGGGGTTCCTGAGAAGCACAGCAGACTGGCAATTGGAGCGGCAGCTCCTGGCTTCGGGTAGGGCCTTGGCCAGCAAGCGCCCGGGATCCCAGACTCCACGCAGAACGGAGAACGTCATGGCACTATTTACGTTTTACGTTTTTATCTTTGATGTTTCCATTTCTCAGCATGGGAAATATTGTCGTGGGAGCGGCTGGATTGCGTCGCCCCGCAGATGCCAGGGTGAGGGAAGAGAGGGATCTTGCAGCAAGATCACCCCATCCAGCCGTCCTTGTAGAACTGCTCTTTGGCTACCACCCTTTGTGGCTGCGGCCAAAGAGCTGCTGGGAAGCAAACTGAGCCAGATTCATGTGCAGCTATGTAGAATAATTGGCAGGGGAGGTGCTAGCGCTCTAAGCAGTGTGCAGCTGCCCAAATCCTGTGCTTTCTAGGAGACGCTGCTAGAGTGAAACCTGGCCTCTGGGAGCAGAGCTCTGCCGCTGGATCGCAGGAGGTCCTGTGTGCTTTCACATCCTCCTCACGGAGGGCGGGCGGGGTGTGCTCCCGTCAAGGGTTCTGAAGCCTTCTGCCGGTGGAATGGTGGGTAGCACAGAGGGCCAAGAGGCTGCCGGCCCCCCAGCAGATGTTAGAAGGTCTAGCCCAAGAGGTTTTTTTCAAGCTGAAGTTCTTTAAAGTTCCTCCCAGACACTGGCAAAGCTCTCGCCGTCGTCTAAATTCCAGCCAGCCATGAGCCAAGGGTATTTCTGCCTCAGCTTTGCAGAGCCAGAGGGTCTTCTGGTTTGGCCTTGGTGCTGTGACGGAAATGGAGCCGGGTAGAATCCGCTAACTGCTACGGCTGTCGTGGGATGTGCCTCGGACTCGACAGACAGGCTCGTGGTTTTGACCCTCCTCCCGGGGTGAGGCGGGGATGAGTCAGGAGAGGAGGAGAGTCCCCCCGCGCTTGGGGCTCTGTGTTTCTAGCCTTTCGGGGAAGAACTAGAATCTGCGCTAGGAACCGGAGAGCTGCTACTGCATTTCCCACGGGGCTTCTGAGTTTTCCATAGATGGCTGGGCCGGGCCCTGGGAGTAGCGCTCTTCTCAAGACTGGTCTGTTCCCTTGTGAAATGTGGGCTCACTGCTACGGGGTTAAAACGGAGTGTCTGCCCCTTAGGGCCGAGACCTTTCTGCTGAGGGATCTCGCATCCTAACTATTGAAACTAGAAAATTCCCCTCCGGGTGACTGCAGCCGCCCCCCCCAGCCGTGTGCTGCTCAGGAAGTTGTGATGTGTGTGTCTGACGCTCTGGCTGTGGTCTGGCTTGGCAGCCGTTCTGCTGAGGGCCGAGTGGCCCGTGTTGGGTGTTGCCGTGCATTGTGCTGGTTGGATTCCCACCCTCCCTTAATAGACGATCTACCTAGTGAGGCGAGGGAGAGGCGCAGGGGGCTCTGGAAAGCTGCCTGGCTCTCTGTACAGAGCGTGTGTGGAGGGTGCTGTTGACCAGGGTGTCTCCCTTCCTAGCCCTCCGCCCCCGTCTTGTGCGATGAGCACAGCTTGGCTTCCAGATGAAACCCTCAGTCGGCGTCAGCCATCTCTAGAAATACCTCACCTGAAAGCATCCACTACTGAATCTGTGTCCGGTAGGGGGGGGACCTATTTGGGCAGGAGGTAGCAGGCAGAAATAAATACCCCCTTAGACTGGCCATGGAGGGCATGTCTTCATGGCTGCCTCCCCCACACACTTCCACGAGCAATCTTAGAGCATGGGTCAGGCTAACAGTAGCAGTGTAGATGTTCCTTCTTGGAGGCCTGTAGCTCCCTCCGCCCTCCCCTTTCTGGCCAGGCTCAGAGCCCAAGTGTGAATGTCTGTGTTGCTGTTTTTAGGCCTGTGGTGTGAGCCAGAGCCAGCTGACCTGGGCCCTGAGACGCTTAGTAGGGGTGCGGGGTAGGGGGTTGCTGTGTAGGTGAAGCTCCAAGATGATTCCCTTGTGAAATCTGGGCTCCTTCGGTCCGTAGCGCACTCTGACCCACTCACGAGCCCCCCAGAATTTCAGTCTGGAATACGCCCTGCCCCAGCCGGAGACCTGCAGTTCCCATATCGGGGCATGGGGAAGATTAAGGAGAGCGCTGCAAGTTGGAACGAGCGCACCGGAGCTTGAAAATCCAGCCGTGCCGCTTGGAGACATACAATGGCTTGCCTCTTCGGTCTCAGTGGGAGGTGGGCTGGGTGTGAGCGCGATCCCTAGGGGCGGAGCCTCTCCTGCCCTGCTCCAGCTCGTCTTAGCCTTGGCTCGAGAAGCCACGTTCAACTTCCAGCCAGTTGGTGCCCTGGAAAAAGTCGGCTTCCTAGAGTGACTGCAAACAAGGGTCCGATGCTTCCAAAATACCTGTCCGCTCCTGTGCAGCTGCAGAATCACAGCTCATCAGCCGCCCCTCCAAGCGGGCATCTGCAGGGCTCTGGCATGGGGACTGCCACAGGGCCGGCTGTTGGACTCTGGTCCCTCGTTTTCGGCTGGGCGCGGGGAACACCTGCTGTCCGCGTGGTTCTGGAAGCCTGACCGATCTGCTGAGTTCAGAAGCGGTCAGCGCTGCTTCCCACGTGCCACCCACTCGGAGCAGGTAGACGCGAATGGTCAGATTGGTGCTAGATCTGAAGACGCAAGGGGGAAAGGTCAATAGGCTGGAGAAAAGAGAAAATGCATGTGGAATGGCCAGACATTGAAATAACCCATAGAGTGAACTACTGTTTCTAATTGGGGTTGCCTGGGGGGGAGGGGCATAAAATGCACAGATCTGCACCCCAGCATTGGCTGGTTTCATGAGAAATGCTGATCTCAAGCTATTCTGACCCCTTCCGTCCCTGGCGTGTTTCACTTCTCCACGTCCCCCTCTTTTTTTTTTTAAGCCCCGTGCAACTACTGAGGACTTGTTCCCGCTGAGCCATTTGAGTCCTGGGCAGGTCATGTACCTAAAACATCAGGAGCAGTCCCGGAAGCAGCGGAACTTGTTTTGAAATGCTGTTGCCGTATTGAGTCTGCCGTAACCCCCCTTGAGAAGGAATGTTCCCCCATGGGGGGGGCAGTTTCTGCTGGTCCTTGAAACTTGAACGCTGTGGTGGGTGAGTGTTCTAGCCGGATGGTGGTCTGCTACCACGGGCTGTGGCTTGCCTCTTTGAGCTGCGCGAATTTCTCTGCCGGGTGCCAGGGATTCCGTGGTATGGAATGTAATCCTGTCTGCTACTGAGCCTAGGAGTGCCTCTGTCAGTAGACACTTGGGTCTTACCACCAGAGATCCCGGAAACACCTTGCGAGAATCAGAAGCTTAGCACGATTTTACTAGCCCGTCCTTTTCCATAGAGAAACAAACCCGTCCAGAAATGACTACGGGCAAGTATAATTTGTAAGGCTCAGCGTTAGCTGCCTTGAGCAATGTGAAACGCCCCCAAACTGACTTGCAGGATTCTGCATGCTACATCCTTAAATGGACTAATCTGAGGCAGGTCTTGCTTTTCGTACGCAAGGACATTGGATTGATCTGTCTCCATTCAGCACCTGCGTAGCAGCAACGCTGCTTCAGCTCCTCTGCGTGAGGGAGACAGGGTGCTACATGCCTGCCCTAGCAAGTTACCCCATCTCCTTATTTCTCTGGCGTAGCCCCGCGAAGGGGAGGTAACATCCTTCGAGCTGTTCTGCTGCCTATCACGTATCACTTGGACGGCATTCGCCGCGCTCTTGCTTGGAATGAGAAATCGACGTTTGTTCATGTTGCCAGGGGCTCACCGCTTCGTTACTTGGTTTCCGAGCTGGTAGCCCTTCCTGATGGAAGGATGGGAGCGTCCTAGACTCCAGCAGCAGGAGTGAACTTTCACCGCTCTAGTTCAGAGGCGATCCAGGTGTGAGTAGGATGAACAGAGCCTCCTCTTCAGGTGGGCGCTGTGCGTCCTTTTCTGGGTGTAGCAGGCCTGCGGATGGAGATCTCTATAGGTGACCTGTTCCTAGTCCTCATTTTATCCATCATCCCGTCCCCATGCAGCAAGGGCCTTTTCACAGTCTTATCCCTATGGGGATTCTTTGTTTTCCTGGTAGGTTACTGGGTTTATCTTGATGTCAAGGGACACTATCAATTTGATTCTCTTACCATTACTTGGAGCATCCTGATCGCTGGTTTTTCAGGAAGTCAGTTTGCTAAGCTTATCAAGACGGTTATACTCTGGCTTTGCCCGGGATGGCAGGGCGCTGGAGGAGATGGCTCAGAGAGGCCCTTTCTACAGTTCTGTTAGAGGGAATTTGACTCTTGCCGGAGCGAAGACGATGGGTCATGAAACGGACTATCCATGAAGTGCTGTCTTAAACTTGATCCGTGATCTATCCAAGCATGCTGATTTTCCATGTGGTCGCTATAGCGACGTCACACTTTCCAGTCAAACGGGTCTTTGTTTCAAGTTGACAAGGTCCCTTTGAACGTAGGTGGTTCCCACACCACCTTTGTTCTGTTGCATGTCACCAACTTTCCGTTCCCTGCAGCAGTGCCTCTCGGGCGTGAGCTGACTTGACGTGCTCCGGGGGAATCAAAGCCACTGTGGTCCGTGCATCAGGTGCTCTGTGCTCCCACGAAGGGCTGAGATGGGCTAGCTGGTGCTTGGTCCTGCCGTGAGCGCCGGGGACTGGACTTGACGACCTCTGAAGGTCCCTTCCTGTCTGGGTTCTATGACTCTACATCCTGGCCAGGTTCTTTTCTGAAAGGATCTTCCTGTTGCAATATCCAGCCCATTGTTCAGTGCCTAGCTGTGACTTGGTGCCGGCTGTCAAATGACACAGAATCAACTTGACATCAGTGGCTTGCTTAGTGGTTGGCTTCCCCCCTCGTGCTTACCGTCCAGAATGAGGGGTGCACCGAGAGAACGTGTGTTCTTTAATCTGGCAGTAAAACCCCTGCAGAAAGCCATGTGGACAGGCTTTTGAATGGCTGTCCGCCAGTTTAGACCATTGTTCCTGGAGTAACTTCTGTTTAAAAGGCCTCTGGTTTGGCTTGTATCTTACCCTTAAAATGACTGTCGGGTCTGGCCCTCCAGTTTGGAGGTCTTGGCTGTGCATTCGGCCGTCTCTGCTGTCCGCTGACTCCAACCACGCTTCCTAGGAGGCCTTCTGAGAACCCGCAGACTGGAAATCCCTCT